GCAGGATGTATATATATATATATACATATATATATGCGTGTCAATTTAAACTCCTGCTATTATGAAAACTATTTTGTTTTGGTCGCCATGTAAGGAACTTGCACCCGCTGCCTTACCTGCTTCCGCCACCTATGGGTCCGGCATCAAACTCGGGCTACGGACCACCTGGCTATGAACCTGTCCTGCACCTCAGGGGATACGGTCCTGGATATGGACCCCCACCTGCACCTCAGGGATACGGTCCAGGATATGGACCAGGATGTGGAGCAGGATACGGAGGAGGCTACGGAGGAGGCTACGAAGGAGGATATGGACCATCAGGACCGGGAGAAAAGGGCCACATCGAGTACGGCAAGGGCGGCTACGTCGACTACGGCAAGGGCGGCTACGGCAACTATGGACCAGGACCTGGACCCCAAAGAACCTACCTCTTTGACTTTAGAAGTGAGCTCTGAGTGAAATGTTGCATCGGGGCCCAAGATCTTTCAGGATAGGTTAGCCGATGGTCGGCTGGCTGGCTACAGGTCTCGGGCTACTTCGCGAAGGAGCATCCTCTAACTGGTGGGGCCTGCAGTGTCCCTTGCATTGCCATCAGCCTTCCCTGGGTTCTATCCTGGCAGGGTTTTTCCTGGGTGTTCTCGTGGGAGTTTCGCTGGCTTTGTGTGCGGGCCTCTACCTCTACCTGCATTGGCCCTCGGCTGGAGCCTCTCCGGAACCTGAACCTACCCTAAACCCTTCCCTTAGGCGTAGGCAGGAGAGGCTCCGTGGCTACTTGCATGCCTAGGGTGACGGTTGTAGGTAGTGGTTTTAGGGTTACCGTGGAGGAGACCGAACCTCCTCAGCCACCCGCCTCGCCCGCTTCCTCTGCAGGCTCTTTCGTGGTGGTGGAGCCCCCTGCTTCACTTCCTGCCACTCAGGCCTCTGATCGCCACCCTTCTTTGCCACCAACCTCCTCTCCCACCCGTGTGCTTTGCGCTCCCCGTGTGTGCGAGGAATCCCCTAGCACAAGCGCACCCAGCTACACCAGTCGCCGCTTCCTGCCAGTCGCCCCACCTTTCGTGCCTGAGTACCCATTGCAGGGCCCTGCGCCGGAAGTCTCCGATAGCCTGCCTGCTACCGTGCCTTCCCTGGTCCTGGATTTGGGCCGCCGCCTTGGGTCGTGTGAGAACTTGTCAGGAGAGGACCGCATCCGCTGAACTTGGAAAGCAGGTCGGGAAGCCGCCGAGGTGCTAGAGGGTCGCAAGAAAAGGCCCGAGGCAACGCCACGCCTCCCCCTAGCGAACCGGATCTACTGCATCCTGCGGGTCACCGACTTGGTCTGCCCGCGAGTGGTGCACAGCTTCTCTGAGTACAAGGCTTTCCCGAACATCCTCTCCGATCCCAGGTCACGCTTTCCCTTCAGATTCCGAGGCTCGGGCTTTCTTTGCCGGGGCCTCTCTGCCTTATCCTCAGTGATGGATTTCTCGGCCCTAGTGCCCGCATCGGCCGGCTCCGTGGAGCTCCTGGAGTTTGCTTGGCCCCCTCACCCAGGCGACGAAGGTCAGAGAGCATGTGTGTGTTACGTGATGAGGAGGGCTTCCTCCTGTGCCTCCCTGGTCACTTTGGCGACCTCTCGGCCCACGGCACTGGCCTAGGTCCGGTGGATTTCGGGCCCTCACATACCATACAAGCCACGGGCGTCGCCCTTACCGAGAGCGGAGAGTGGGGCCCAGCCTCGCCCCCGGCCACGGTCCCGGCCCTTCTTCTGGATTTGCCAGCAAGTGCCTCAATGCTCCTGAGCCCTTTGGAGTTGGATGTTTTCGAGGGGGTCTTCTTCTTAGACGACCGCCCCACCCTCTACCCACTCAGGTTACCAGACGGCCGTGTCAGAGCTCGGGCCCTCTGCGGCCGACACGCGTGCAGCAAAGCGTGCTCCGAAAGCCAAGCGCCCTTCTGTGGCCCAAATCGCTACGCAGACAGCCGCCCTCACAGAGGTGGTTGCCAAAATAAGCACGCAGCTGGCAGCGCTTCAGCAGCAGGCCGCCGGGCCACCCGCCGCGCAGCCCGAGCCCCTGCACAGCGCCCCGAAGGAGGCCCCTCCATTGGACTCTCAGGCCCGCCTGCGCCAAAGCCCTGTGTCAGCCTTGGTTCCTCCCTATCAGAGTGTGCCAAAGTCTCTCGCTGCGGCCTTGGGTGCTCCCCCGCCTGTGCGCAGGACTCCCGACCCTTTGCCCGCCGCCCAGGCCGACTTAGATGCCCAGATGGAGGCCGCCATTATCGAAGGAGAGCTGCCAAACGTGCAAGAGCCCGGCGTGCTGGCTTCAGCTATGATGGCGCAGAGCAGGGCACTTCTAGCCCTCGTGGGGCATCTCGCTCAGGGTGGGGACCCGGTGCTGGACTCCCAGACGTCCTCGAGCTCCAGGACCGCCCAGTCCAGGCAGAGATTGCAGGCCGAGCTGGCTCAGCTAAGTGGCGTCTTCGCCGAGAAGGTGAGAGCAAAGGCCGCGCACCGCATGGCGCCGGCGGGCATCAACCCCGCAGAGCCGGCCTCCCTTTGCCGTTATTTCGAGAGGTACGGGGGCTTCTCCCGCATGCGCGAGACCGGCCTGATTGTACACCAGGCCGCCCGAGCTTTCGATCTTACTTACGGCGGAGCAGCCAAAAGCCGCGGCCGACGCATTGGGTCTCCTCCTGGTCTACCTAGACCAACTGGCCTTGGACTCGGGCTCAACAACAGTGGCCTATTTGATGACCCTGCTTCCCGACCCGCCTCAAGGCCTGTTTGCAGAGGGGCCCGCACCCCCGGGAGGAAGCCTTCAGGCCTTCACCCCGCTCGCCGATCAGACTTGGATCACGTCCGCGTTGGGCTTTCTTCGGGAGATGGACCTCATCACGACTCGGCGGGCGGAGGCAAAGGCCGCTGGAAAGCCTCCGAAAAGATCGCCTGGCCCTTCTCCTCTTCAGGACGCCCCGAAGGACACCGAAGAAGCTTTCTCCAGGAAGCAGCAGAGGGCGGCAAAGTGGGCCGCGCAGAAGGCAGCAGCCGCTGCCGCGACAAAGTGAGTTCGGCCGACACGGCCCGCGCAGAAGGCAGCAGCCGCTGCCGCAACAACGTGAGTTCGGCCGACAAGGCCTGCACAGATGCATGTGACCTAGGTGGGCCAGCCTTGGCCTTCGATGGTGAATTCAACTTTTCGTCTTGGGCTGGGGCCCTCCCACGCCTTGTTCTGAAAACCAGGACAGCTTTTAGTCACTTCCTTTTCAAAACTTTGCACCTCCAGCGGGACGAGGCTCTTTCCGTCCCTACCGCCCTCTTCCCCTTGCCTCTGCCAGATGCTTTTCCTGCTAGAAGCAAGCCCCGTGAGAGAGGAGGCTCAAAGCGCGGCTGTGGGAATGTACGAGTTGCCTTGCACTGTCTGGTCATGGCCCTCAACTTCCTTCATGCCGGGTTCCGGCCTCCACCCTTGGACTCTTTGCGGAGGCCGCCGGGTGCCTCACACGTGGCTGTGTACAAGCGCCTGGTTGGCTTTCTTAGGGCGAGCTGCCGCCTTGGGGTTCCGTGCCCTTCTGTGCTGGCAGACGAGGCACTCACTTGGTTGCCAGGTTGGGTGAGTTGCACTCCTTTTTGACGACCGCAGGTCTGAGCGATGACGCCTATCTGCCCCACTCTGCCGCAGGTGCTGCAGGTGCCAAGGTCCCACATCGCGCCTCCGGGCCCGACTGCCTCAGACCTTACAGGACTTTGGATGCCGAGGGCATTGTGCTGCATGGGTCTGGAAACTGGGATCCCACACCTTACCTCCCCACCAGCATGCGACTTGCCTACCTCGAGCCCGCCATTCTTGAGACCTTCGAAGGCACTGGGTCCTCAGCCCCCAGCTTTCTTTGACCAGGAGAGCCCCGACATGCTTTTGCAGCTCCTCAAGGTTTGGGACGCCCGTTCCCTTTTGCAGCTTAGGCCGGGGCCACTACCCGACCGCAGGTGCACCAGAGTCTTTGGATCATTTAAGTCCACAGGCAAGTTTAGGCAGATCGGCGACAGGCGAGGCCAGAACAGCTACGAGTGCCGTTTGGAGGGAGTCTCCCCGGAGCTCCCGGCCGGCTTCCTGCTCACGAAGCTCACGGTACCTCGCTTCAGCCACAGGCTATGTGGCAGCACAACAGACCGGCGTGACTTTTACACGCAGTGCCGGGTCAGCCCAGAGCGTGCTTCCAGGAATGCTGTAAAGCCCTGCCTCCTCTTAAGGGACTTCGTGGGCACCAAAGCTTTCGAGCACTACGTGGCTTGGGTCGACTCTCGGGCCGGGCCCCTCAGGCCCCGGGCTTCGCTCACCCCTCGACCGGCCCTGCTGGACTTGAATCGCCCGATGCATGGTTGTTTCCAGGCCCTATTTCAGGGCGATGCCTCGGGGGTGGAGTTTGCAACGGCAGCACATTCTGCATTTCTCGAGGGTACTAGCGACCTGCCATCCCCCGAGAAGGGCCGCATTGTTGCGGGCCAGCCTCTTGCCAGAGAAGGGCCTTGGGCAGGCGTTATTATCGACGATGCTTTCGCCAATCTCCGCCGAGGAGGTTCCCCCGGCTCTTCTGCCAGAGAGTGCGCAGTTTACGAGTGAGAGCCCTGACCCCCCGGCTCCCAGCGCATCAGAGAGGATGATCCTGAAAGCCAGGGCTGCTTACGAGAAAGCCGGTATCCTGGGCTCTCCCGAAAAGGACACCCTAAGTGAGGATGTCTTTGTCATTGGAGGAGCTCAGGTGGACTCATCTCCTGCTTCGGTCCGAGCTGGGCTGGTCCAAGTTGGGACGCCCATCCAGAAGCGCCTCTCGCTTTCCTTGGCCTCTTTGAAACTCGCCGGGTACCGCACCACCACAGAGGAGCTGACCTCGATGATAACTGGAGCATGGATTTCGGCTCTCCTCTTTAGGAGGTGTGCCATGGCATGCCTTGGCAAGCTCTTCGGCATCAGTGTCAAAGAAGCCCCGGGCCCCGAAGGCTCTAGGCTTGTGTCCCTTCCCGTGCTTGCGGCGAATATTGCAGCCCCTTTCCTGCAAGAGGTATTTGCCTCAGACGCCTCGATGAAGAAAGGCGCCTACGTCAAGACGATTGCGTCACACGACGAGGCCTCCGTACTCTGGCTGGCCGCCGACACAAAAGGCTTTTACACGATGTTGGACCCCCCAGCCCGTGCCGCTTTGGCGTCAGTCGGAGCCGAGCCCTTGGACTTAGTGGCCGGCCCTCCGTCAGTTCCTAAGCCCTGCCCCGACCGAGAAGCACCTTTCGTTCCGAAGCCTATCGGCCAGCGCTTTGACTTCCTAGAGGTTGGGCCGGGCCCTGCTCGCTTCCCGGGGGTTTAGCACTGGCCCTCACTTCGATTGTGCGGTCTCCCAGCATTTCGACGTGCTGCGCCTGGATGCCTATGACTGGCTGCTTTTCATGATCCAGGCCTCGGACCAGGAGAGGCCAGAGCCCCGGTGGGGATATGCAGCATCAGGCTCCTGAGCCTGCGGACCCTTCCTGCGCCTTCCTCCCGTGATCGTGCAGCCCTGCGTTTTGCCTCCCGTGCTCTGGGTGCTTTCTGGTTGGCCTGGAGGGCGAACATCGCTGCTGCTTTGGTGGTGCCTCTCTGTTCGAAGGCCAGGGCCACTCCTTTGTGGCGTTATCTCTGCAACCTTGATGGGACGGCTGCCGCTTGCAAGGTGCTCCCGAAAGAGGGCGCTCAAGCCTCTGCCTCCTGCTGACCGGGCTCCCTGTCACTGAGCTCAAGGCCGTTCCCTGTTGGGCCTCGACCGCGGGGAGCTCGAAGGCCCCAATCGCTTCCAGGCTCCCTGCCGCTCTTGAGATTGCCCTTGAGGAGGCCTTTTGCAGCTCTCTGAGAAATCAGGCCGTTGAGCCTCCTCCCCGTGTTGGCCTGGAAAGCCTGCTCGTGAACGACTTGCTGGCCGCGAGGCCTTGGGATGTTTCAGCCTCGTGGGTGTGGCGCGAGGCGGCTCACATAAACCTTCTTGAGACCCGGGCTTACCTCAAGACTCTACGAGACTTGGCCAAGCGGGGCGATGACGCCCGTTTTGTGCACGTGGTGGATTCGGCAGTGACCCTGGGGTCGTCCGTGAAGGGCAGGTCTTCGGCCCGAACCCTCGAGAAAGCCCTAAAGCAAGGAGCCGCGCTCCAAATCGCCGGTGGCTTGTATCCGGCACCGGTCTTCGGACCAACGCGCCTCAACACCGCAGATGACCCATCGCGCGGCGTAAGTATCCGCGAGCGAGCCTTGCAAGCTATCCATCCTTGATGCGCTCGAGGTTGCAGACCTTTACACCGCATCGACCTTCAAAGGACTCAGCCGCTTCAGCGCAAACTGGCTTCGCCTCTCCTGCCTCCTAATAGGGTTTAGGTCCTCGACCCCCCTAGGCGGTTTCTTGCGTGCACTAAAGGAGCCCCCCCGGACGTGCCGAACCTCGCAGTGTGTTGCCGACGCCTCGCAGTTTGCCCGGCTTGAATTTGACAGCACGCTCGGCTACCCCGGCGAAGGGCCTCTTAGCCCAAGAGACGCTCAGGACAGAAGCAGACAGCAGCGACGCTCTGGCAACGACCTCCCGCAGGGGCGACCTGTGCTGGCGCGAACTCGCGTCAACAGAGCTCGCCTGCTCGTCGACTTCGAGGCCTGGCTGGTGGAACGAGGCCGCTCTTTGGAGAGCTTCCTGTCCGAGAACCCCCCCGAGGTCCAGGCTACGACGCTGGGAGGCCTTACTGGATCTACTCTGAGACGGTGAACGGTGTAGCGGCACGCGCTCCAGCAGTCAGGCGGCAGCTTCAGCAAGCATGGGATCTGGGTTTTTCGTGGCTGGCCATTGAACCTTACTCCCACCACGTGCCTCTTCCGGGAATATTGCTTTGCGCCATCCTGACGGCTTGCCTGGTCTGGGGTTGGGTCAGGGAAGCAGGCCTCTTCGCCTTGGCATGGGGCGGCCTGCTAAGGATAGGTGAAGCCACGAACGCCAAGCGCTCGGACTTGGTGCTGCCCCGGGATGTGCTCTTCACGCAGTGTTTCGTCTTGTTGAGGATCCAGGAGCCGAAGACTCGTTTGCGTATGGCGAGACATCAGGCCGCGCGGGTGGAACCACAAGGCCTCGTCGAGCTCATCGACCTAGTCTTTCATGGACTTCGCCCTGACGAGCGCCTCTGGCCCAGGTCTCAGCAGACCCTGCGAAAGCGACTGGATGCGGTACTGGCCCGCCTGGGCATTACTCCGCGTGAGGGCGAGAAAGCCCTTGACTTGGGCTCGTTTCGCCCAGGAGGGGCAACTTACCTCCTTCAGCAGACGGAAGATTTGGAGCTCACCCGTCGCAGAGGCAGATGGGCCAGCCATAAGGTAATGGAAATCTACTTGCAAGAAGTGGCCTCCATCACTTTTTACCCCCAGCTGCCCCTGCCAGTTCGTGAACAAGTTCTTCGTTTCGCGCAAGGCTTTCGCCCTACGCTGGCAAAGGCAAAGCAGTGGGAAGCCCGGGGCATACCTCCCACTGCCTGGTATTCTCTTCTTCTTGCAGAAGGCTAGCATTGGCGGAGAAGACGCGGGAGACATGGGAAAGTTTCTTGGTAGATGCCGAGCATCCCGATGACCTCGAGGTATTTCCGAGGGGGTTATATAACCTGTATATCCCGGGCTCTGCTGCCGGCTGGACCGCCAATGGACGTTCACCATGGAGGTGCAAAAAAGGAGCGAGGGGCGAACTTCTGACTTTAGAAGTGAGCTCTGAGTGAAATGTTGCATCGGGGCCCAAGATCTTTCAGGCCCGCCCGCCACTCCCGCTGCTACTGCAGGGAAAGTTTCTTGGTAGATGCCGAGCATCCCGATGACCTCGAGGTATTTCCGAGGGGGTTATATAACCTGTATATCCCGGGCTCTGCTGCCGGCTGGACCGCCAATGGACGTTCACCATGGAGGTGCAAAAAAGGAGCGAGGGGCGAACTTCTATATAGGGGTCCTGATTATGATTTC